AATATGATTTTTTTTCAAAACAGCTTATATTAAGTTTTTTTGATATATATGATCAGTACATGTGCTGGGATTGACAAATATGCATTTTATTTGGATTTTAAAGGCGTTTTGAGCTCCAAACCCCAAGTGTCTGTGCATTTTCGTTTCAAAAGAAACATTTACACATTGTGAATTAGACTGTGTGCAATTGTATTTTGTAACTTTTCTTTTCAGGAGAATGAATAAAATAAAAGTCTATAACTTTTACTAACGATGCAAATATTTATTGAAACGGTCATAAGTCCTAGGATTAGGATACACTCAGGACTTTCTATGAAACGCATCACTGTTCTTTACACTCCGTATAATATTATCCTGATTCACAAAATACTTTTTAGTCTTAGATGTAATAGAATCAAATGTAATAGATATTCTTAAGCAACAAATATCCTTAAATATTTGTGTCTACTAAGAAAAACAAAGTACCAAGAAGTTACAGAGAAAATATAACAAACTGTGTGGTTATCACATACAGTTGACTCTCAATAAGTCAAAATCGCTTTACTCAAAATTCCGCCTAACTCGAATAATTTCTAAAGTCCCGTCAAATTTCCTTCTTTATCTTTGTATTTTAACTCCGCTTAGGTCAAATTTTGACTTACCGAGACTCCTGTTTAGTCGAAAAGAAAATTTGGTCCCGTCAATTAAAGTCCACATATTTTCATCTCAATTAGTCGAAGTGTGAAAACAGCCGACTGATGCCGGTCATCATGTATTATTAACACGTCGTAAAAGTGTCTTTAATCCGTTTCACGACTAAATTGGTTTTAACAGTTAGATAACTAAATTAAAATTTAATTACATTTCTTTAAAAAAGTTGACTCGTGCCAGTCTGACGGGTGTTAGTCAAATAACAGCCTAGTCAAATAACAGCCTAGGTATTGATGTGTATCATCAACGTAAATGATATTTGTATAATTAATGTTCCGTCATATTGCATACATTAATTTGTACTTTCGGTTAACGATAATTGCTAATTTTGTTTTCGTCCGATGATCAATTAAATCAAATATAATTGTGTGTTTATGTTTCACTATTAATATACATGTATTAAATTTTGAATGATATATTTTTGTTCATTTATAATTTGTAGTTGAAAGTGATTTACCGTCATTTCAATGGTTAAATATTGCAGCATTGCCGCTAACAACAATAAGAAACCTACTTTTTTTGCACATTCAATCAGGTACATGTATATACATGTACGAAGTCAACGTAATGGCGGTAGTTCCACGTTACTCGAATTCCGTTTCTCTCGAAGTAAAATACCTAGTCCCTTGGATTTCGAGTTACCGAGAGTCAACTGTATTTCTTATATTTTGTTTAATATTCTTGCCGTTTAGGATATTTCAAATCATTAGACTGCTTATAACGTATAATTCAAAATTCAAACAAAGTCTAACTCCATGACATTATCATTTTCTTATTTATTGACGTTTTTGAAACTATTGAAGGGATAGTTTTTCGATTTTGTTTTTCGATTCGAGTATTTTCTTTTGATTATAACTCACCAATACCAAAATAAATATCATAATTTAATTTCTATGAAAACAATGATGTCAACATATTTCAAACTGCGTAATGTTGACACTGATTGAATTTATTGAAGGGATAAAAGTTAGTAAAATAATCAACCAATGCCGAATGAATTATCATAATTGTATCAAAACAATGATGTTGCCATTTCTCAAAACTCCGTAATATTGATACTTATTGAAACACCAAATAACTTGTTTCATTTTATTTGTAATTGCAATGTTATTGAATTGTAAATCACGATTGCTTGTTTTTTATAATTAAAAGAAATATGATAGCTTGAGCTTTCTTTCAGATTAGTTCCCTGGCGTTTATTCATTTTGCCCAAAATTTTTTATGAAAATTTCTTTTTAAAAAGAATGAAAATGTCATAAATGTAAATCATCACATCAAACAAGATTAAGGATTTAGATCTTTAGTTATATCACTTGTTAATTAAAAGCATCGGTATCAAAGAATCTAAAGAAATTTTACTATTGATAATTATTTCTTAAAACTTCAATTTGTACAAGTATTTATTTACTCTTGGTCAGTCATTCTATATGAAAACAGAAAATAAATCTATCATTGAATGGCGATGTAAAATATCCATCAATTACACGTAAAGATTGAGCAACTTGATCAAAGACTTAAGTATCATTCCCGATGGATATTTCACCGCACTTGACACACTGAAACTAGCTTTGATGCAGTTCTTTAAACTCCGGATATCCTTATTCAGAAAACACTTCAAAGATGTAAAAAGATATCATTATGCCACCCTAAAGTATTCATAAATAGTGTGTTCTTCCAAGAAAACACAGTTCCAAGAAATTTAAGAGAGGATATAATATAAACAGTGTGGTTAACACATATTGCTGATAATTTATCTAATTTTCCTGCTGTTTTTCACTTATAAATGTGAAATCATTAGATTGCTTAAAACGTATAATTTAAAAGTCAAACAAAGTCTTACTCCATGACATTATCATTATCTTAATTATTGACGTTTTTGAAACTTATGAAGGGATAGAAGATACGTTTGATTTTCTTTTTCGATTCAATGTTTTTGTTATTATTATAACTCACCAATGCCAAAAGAAATATCATAATTTGATTTCTGTGAAAATAATGATCTCGCAATATTTCAAAGCTGTGTAATGTTGATACTTTTTGAACATCAAAAGGCTTTACGGTTCATTTTATATTACGTAGTGATTTACGATGTAAATGCATGATAAATCACTATGTGACATGTTTTATTATAATTAAGAAGCAATATGATAGCATTGAAGCTTACGTTCAGATTATTGTCGTTTATACATTTGACCGTCCTTCTATGCATTTTCTTTTCAATAATGTGCACATCAAACAAGATTAATGATTTAGATCTTTATACCACTTCAGTCATATCACTTGTGAGTTAGTCGCATCGGTATATAGAGGATCTATAAAAAATTGCACTTTTGAAATGTATGCACTTCTTTATGATAATATACATTAAATATAGACTGAATTGAAAATGGTATTGAGGAATAACGCTTTCGTAAGACTGTCATGATTTGATTTACCATTATTGCTAGAAAAAGCCTTAACAATCATATATAAATATATATTTTAAAAATTTATTATTCAATAACTAGGTAAACATTTATGCTTTCATTCGAGTTATGACATCGCGTTGTTAATTTGCGCGGTAACTGATTTATATACCGTACAATATAGAGCATGTTCATTAGATAAAGCTCTAATATCTTGCCTTTTAATGGCAAATTGTTTTATTTTTGTATTTAGTCATCTTTTATATATGTGCAAATAGACCCGTGTGAATCATTCATTTCGGACGTGATACGAGTTAAGGGCATTGCTTTTCAAGCAACCATGTGTTGCGTAATTTAATATATTTCTAATAAAGTACACACTGCAAATCCCTATGATTGTTGCATTATTTAAAATGTGAAATGTTATCTAAATCAATCATTACCGTTAAACTGAATTACAATGTACTTAAATACACATGGACTACCACGAACCTTATCGCAAGTGCCATTGATAATGACTGTCATATAGTATCATTTTTTCACATCAAGCTCAAATGCACATTTCGATTTACGATGATCGTGCGACCTGTTATTAAAGTAATCATGGTATTAGAACTTATCAACACTTTAAATGCAAATTTAAATCTTACTGTTGTAATGAAAAGATATTTAGTCGGGAGTATGGACATATTAAAAAATACTAGTATTCTCCAGGAACAGTTGGTTTTTGAAAAAGGAATAGGAAATGACTCTGATAGTGTTATTTTGTTCAATGATTCGGTGGTTCAAACATCGAATATTACATCAAGTGACATGGTACGCCGATTATTTCAGATACTGCTTTGCAGGCGTGTCAGGCGGACACAGTATGATGGGCTGAGCCTAGGTAGTATCTTTGTCATGTTGACTAACTCGCACAAATAAAGGTCACAGTGAAGTTCACAAGATTTCAAAGGTGAAATAAAAATATTAAAATTTGTTTCTTGGCGCTGTATTTTGCTTATGCTTTAAAGTATTATGCTAAGTTGTCAGAGGAGTTTTAAATTGTTGAGCCAGCTTGTGGTGAGGTTGACTTTGTTTTCACTTTTGACAGTTTGGTGCGCTTGTCAGTCTGTGCATCCGTCTAGATTTGTCCGATATATATGAGAACTTTCGTGACCAGGTGTTGCGTGATAATTACACGGGATCTTTTTACTATAAGCTGGTTTAGTAATTACCATATCCTTTTGTTATGTCTTTTGTAACTTGCTTGCTTACGTCAACAGCTTGCAATTTTCTCATTGAATTGAGATCTATTCATGTGTCGAAGTCCCGAAGTGTCGGAAGTTTTAACGCAAGTCCCTTCAACTTCAACTTACCGAAGTTCTACTGTACTTACATGAAAATTGTGTATAGTTAAAATAGTATACAGTAAACCTTTTATTTCACCTATTAAATTCTTTAATCTTTCATTTTTCAGTTATTTCAGCCATTTTTACTTCTCTGGTATTATCTGCATCACATCATCATTATTGATGTGTCTGTATGTAACATGCGGTGGTGGACAGTGGCCTGAATTTGTACACACCATCATTGCTGTCATGAGATACCCTGTACCTGAGAGTAAGTTCTGCTTTTATAAATGAATATTTATTGCCATTCTTGATGTACATGAAACATGTATTTAACACACATTATGCTCAGAAACAATTAAAATTTTAACTTTTTTAAAAAGAGAGTAAACTTAAATTTTGGAAATGTTTAAAATAATGGTTGGAGCATGTTAGATGCTTTTTACTGGAAGACAGTGGGAAATAATTTGTCATAAAAGTAGCAAAATCACAATGTTAACAAAGTAGTATTTTGACTTCCATACAAAAAATACTAAATCATCACTCAGTCTCTAACTGTACTGATTGCAAAAAGATGGTTCAGGTAATTGGCAAATGAAGTAACTTTGTGGAAACTATAAAATTACACTAAAAGTAAAGATTTTAAGAAATGAAACTAAAAGCATTTCTTGGGCATAACTGGACCTTTAACATACTGTAGATGCACAAAATCTACAATAAAAACCAGCTTGTTATAAGCATTAAAATTTCTTTTAAGCTTGTTTGAAGATTTAGTTTGATTAAATGTCCTGATTGAACAATAACACTGGTCATCATTAACACATTCATTTATAAATTATTAGAGAGCAGATTTTTGAAATACCTGCACTTTTTATTCAACCATTGGATATTTGTGATTAATGGCTAACCCGAGAATGATGATTTTAAAGTTTGATTGCCCTATAAGTTCAGCCTTCTTCCTTGTTGATAAGCATATCAGGAAATTTTTTCTGTTTGTTTTCAGGTTATGGGGACAATGTTCTCTAACATTGTGGTTTTGACCTGTGCAAGTTGCCAGGTATTGAGAAGGTTTCTCGAGTGTCTATTTATCAGTGTTTACTCTCCTGATAGCAAAATGAGCTTCGTCATCTACTTTGTTGGTGTGGCATTCTATACAGCTCTTCCTATTACCTCCCTTTCAGGGACTAATCTTAATGATGCTTTCAAATGTGAAGGTAAGTTTGCTGTCTGGTGAGATAGTTTGGTATGATAAACATGTCTTTATTTCAATTAATCTGGTATTAATTAACAATGTAATTTGTGGTATATACATGAAGCATATAGCACAAAATATTAACATGATTTACATGTACATTTGTTTTCAAATCATTTGACCCAATTACAATTTCATTATATTCGATGCTATTGAAGTACTTGTATATGTATGTAGAAGAGGAAACAATTACAAGTATGATTAAAAAAATGCAAACAGGAAGAAAATGAGCATGACACTTATTGACGTTATTGTTATCTTGTCTTTGATAAATTACTTTGACAGCTATTATTACTGTACAAATGAATTTATGAAATGAGGATATGTGATGAAATGAATTTGACATATATTGTCAGGTCTTGTAATCATTTTTGAAACCCAAAAACTTGAAAAATATCACAAATTAACTTGCCTGAGGTTGGGTTTATGTTTTCCCAAACTATAAAAATGTTGACATAGTTCAAAAACTCTTGACATTTCCTATATTTCATAGTAATTTTGTGAACATATTTTTTGTAAGCCTATGAGCCATCTATATTATATAGCAATAGATATTTATCAGTATAAAGACTCAGATTTTTTTTACATTTTTAGAATTACTTCAGTATGTTTGTTGGAACCATATTGTTGGTGTTGCTCTATTTATCTGGGCATCATATCAACAGAGAAAAGTTGCATTCCAGTTTGCTCAACTTCGCCAGAACAAATCAGGTATATTACTATCATTATCAGGCCTTCTTACTTTTATTTGTTATGTCTTGTCAGATTTCATTTTGCTAGTTGTAAATGTTTTCTTTTACCCATAGCCTGCTAGCCACAACTGACTGTACCCTTGCAACCAGCACTGACTAAATTCAGTCTGCATGTCTGTGTTGTCTAATCATGGTCTTCACTGTTGACTATTCAGTCAGTATATGAGCCGTGCCACGACAAAACCAACGTAATGCATTTACGACCATCATGAATCAAGACCAGCCTGCGCATCCGCGCAGTCTGATCAGGATCCATGCTGTTCGCTATCAGTTTTGCTACTTGTAATAGGGTTGGTAAGCGAACAGCATGGATCCTGATCAGACTGCCCGGATGCGCAGGCTGGTCTGGATCCATGCTGGTCGCAAACGCATTATGTTCACATATTTTTTATACTAAAAATAATGAATGATTCAGTCCAGAATGAAAGATGGACAAGTCAAAATAAGTTATTAATGATATTGGAATGGTAAGATTTATTTGTGCTTTATCACAATCTCTACTTGGGAATAGTTATTGTAAATACTTCAGTTACTTAAGTTTATAAATTAAGGCTCCTTATTAATTGTGCATTATGTAATGCTGGAGGGGAAATAACCATTGTAGTTATCGTGTATGCATCTTTTTACTTTGGGTACATTTAATTCAGTTAATTTGTCTGATTTGTTTCTTGAAACTTGTTTAAGTTTGTGAAAGAAGTCAATTGTTTATACAGAATTTATTTTAGTTTGATTGTGTAGGAAGCTGTAAGTCAACAAAAACACTCTGGAATTTGTTCCTGGAACCAACCAGTACTGAGCAATGAATGTAAAGTTTCTTTCTCAAGGAAACAACAGCTTGTCCCTGATGGGGTTACCCATCCATAAAAGTACTTGTCTGATGCATTGACAACTTTGCCATGCTGCAGATTCAAAGGAACCAAATTTGAAGCAGCTTCAAATTATAAGAAATTGTTTTTCAAGATAGAAGGAATCACTGTAATATGTTTTGTACTTTAATGATTATACATTCATACTTTTGTGTGATAAAAGAATAACTAACTTGTAAACATTTTGATAATTTCAGGGAGAGTTCATAACACAAAGCATCACATTCCGTATGGAGGATTATTTGAATATGTGTCATGTCCACATTACTTCACAGAAATACTCATATATCTCTCGATGAATATCATCTTCTCATTTAGAAACACTATGATGATCTCATTGTTCATATTTGTTCTAGCAAACCAGGTGATTTCAGGATACTTTAGTCATAAATGGTACAAAGAGACATTTAAAACTTATCCTAAAAATAGAAAATCAACCATTCCTTTTATATTTTAAGAAGGTTTTTGTTTTCATGAATACTCATGTCATGTAAAATGAGTACATGTACTTCTAGAGTATTTAAAATTTGATATTAAAGTCTATATGTATTAACTTACACAAATACTCCACTCTCTGTAGTAGAGGCCAGTTTCATTTTACTCATTTTTGAAAATAAGTGTATGTGCGAGAAAATGCATTGTTGTACTTTTACTGTTATTAGCTCACCTCTCACAAAGTGACAGGGTGAGCTTTTGTGATCGCTTTTCGTCCCGCGTCCGTAAACTTTTACTTTAAATGACATCTCCTCATAAACCACTAAGCCAATTTCATCCAAACTTCACTGGAATGTTCCTTTGGTGGTCACCTTTAAAAATTGTTCAAAGAATTTAATTCCATGCAGAACTCTGGTTGCCATGGCAACCGAAAGAAAAAACTTTAAACATTTTCTTTTAAAAAACCCAAAGAGCTAGAGCTTAGATATTTGGCATGAAACATCTTCTAGTGAGTGTCTACCAAGTTTGTTCAAATAAAATTCCTGAGGTCAAAATTGGCCCCGCTCCAGGGGGTCATTGATTTTCCCTATATGCATATAGTAAAAACTTAAAAAATCTTCTTTTAAATAACCAAAAGAGCTAGAGCTAAGATATTTAGCATGAAACATCTTCTAATTAGTATCTACCAAGTTTGTTCAAATAAAAGCCCTGGGGTCAAAATTGGCCCCGCCCCAGGGGGTCATTGATTTTCCCTATATGCATATAGTAAAAACTTAAAAATCTTCTTTTAAAGAACCCAAAGAGCTTGAGCTAAGATATTTAGCATGAAACATGTTCTATTGGGTGTCTAACCAAGTTTGTTTCAAATAAAAGCCCTGGGGTCAAAATTGGCCCCGCCCGGGTGTCATTGATTTTCCTTATATATGTGTATATCTAAGCAAAAACTTAAAAAATCTCTTTGAAAAACCCTAGATAGCTAGAGTAAAGGTATTAAGCATGAAACATCTTCTAGTCAGTGTCTACAAAGTTTGTTCAGATAAAAGCCTGGGGTCAAAATTGGTCCTGCCGTGGGTCATTGATTTTCCTTATATGTGTATAGGCAAAACTTAAATATCTTCTTTGAAAACCCAAATAGCTAGAGTTAGATATTAAGCATGAAACATGTTCTAGAAAGTGTCTACAAAGTTTGTTCAGATAAAAGCCCTGGGGTCAAAATTGGTCCTGCCCCGTGGGTCATTGATTTTCCTTATATGTGTATAGCAAAAACTTAAATATCTTCTTTGAAAACCCAAATAGCTAGAGTTTAGATATTAAGCATGAAACATGTTCTAGAAAGTGTCTACAAAGTTTGTTCAAATAAAAGCCCTGGGGTCAAAATTGGCCCCGCCCCAGGGGGTCATTGATTTTCCCTATATGCATATAGTAAAAACTTAAAAATCTTCTTTTAAAGAACCCAAAGAGCTTGAGCTAAGATATTTAGCATGAAACATGTTCTATTGGGTGTCTACCAAGTTTGTTCAAATAAAAGCCCTGGGGTCAAAATTGGCCCCGCCCCGGGTGTCATTGATTTTCCTTATATATGTGTATATCTAAGCAAAAACTTAAAAAATCTCTTTGAAAAAACCTAGATAGCTAGAGTAAAGGTATTAAGCATGAAACATCTTCTAGTCAGTGTCTACAAAGTTTGTTCAGATAAAAGCCCTGGGGTCAAAATTGGTCCTGCCCCGTGGGTCATTGATTTTCCTTATATGTGTATAGCAAAAACTTAAATATCTTCTTTGAAAACCCAAATAGCTAGAGTTTAGATATTAAGCATGAAACATGTTCTAGAAAGTGTCTACAAAGTTTGTTCAGATAAAAGCCCTGGGGTCAAAATTGGTCCTGCCCCGTGGGTCATTGATTTTCCTTATATGTGTATAGCAAAAACTTAAATATCTTCTTTGAAAACCCAAATAGCTAGAGTTTAGATATTAAGCATGAAACATGTTCTAGAAAGTGTCTACAAAGTTTGTTCAAATAAAAGCCCTGGGGTCAAAACTGGCCCCGCCCCAGGGTTTCATTGTTTTAACTATATGTGTATGGTAAAAACTTAAAAAATCTTCTTTTGAAAAACCCAATGAGCTACAGCTTAGATGTTTAGCATGAAAAATTCTTATGGGTGTCTACCAAGTTTGTTCAAATAAAAGCCCTTGGGTTAAAATTGGCCCTGCGGGGGTGGGGGAGGGGGCAGATCATTGTTTTCATTATATGTGTGTAGTAAAAACTTAACATCATGAAACATTTTCTTATGGGTGTCTTCCAAGTTTGTTCAAACTAGAACTGCCACTATCATGGCGTGAATACCCCCGCATACCACTTTGTCAGAATCAACAGTGGCCATTTACATGGGTGCAAGTTGAAAATTTGGAAAAACCTGAAAACTGTTATTCATAATCATTTTCCTATATAATCTAATAGTAAAACATGATGAAATTTGTCACAAAAACCTGAACTTCAGGCATATGCCTGAAAACTTGCACCCATGCATTTAGAGCTCAAGGACAACCTCCCTGCCAAATCTGAGGTTACTAAGCCAGTGCATTGCTAAGTTATGTATTCTACATGCTTCAAATGTCAAAATCAATACATTGCGGACAGGACATTCTTTAACAATTGAGAAGAAAAGCTTTTTAGCTCACCTGAGCATAAGCTCAGGGTGAGCTATTAGGATCACTCTTCGTCCGTCGTACGTTGTCCGTTCACACTTTTCAAACGACATCTCCTCTGAAACCATAAGGCAGATCATAATGAAACTTCACAGGGATGTTCCTTGTGTGAAGCCTTAACAAAGTTGTTCAAAGAATTCCATTCCATGCAGAACTCTGGTTGCCATGGCAACCAAAAGAAAAAACTTCAAACATCTTCTTCTAGAAAACCCAAAGAGCTAGAGCTTAGATATTTGGCATGAAACATCTTCTAATGGGTGTCTACTAAGTTTGTTCAAATAAAAGCCCTGGGGTCAAAATTAGCCCCGCCCCAGGGGGTCATTGATTTTCCCTATATGCATATAGTAAAAACTTAAATCTTCTTTTAAAGTACCAAAAGAGCTAGAGCTAAGATATTTAGCATAAAACATCTTCTAATGAGTGTCTACCAAGATTGTTCAAATAAAAGCCCTGGGGTCAAAATTGGCCCCGCCCCAGGGGGTCATTAATTTTCCCTATATGCATATAGTAAAAACTTAAAAAATCTTCTTTTAAAAAACCCAAAGAGCTAGAGCTTAGATATTTGGCATGAAACATGTTCTAATGGATGTCTACCAACTTTGTTCAAATAAAAGCCCTGGGGTCAAAATTGGCCCCGCCCCTGGGGGGTCATTGATTTTCCCTATATGCTTATAGTAAAAACTTAAAAAAAATTCTTTTAAAGAACCCAAAAAGCTAGAGCTAAGATATTTAGCATGAAACATCTTCTAATCGGTGTCTACCAAGTTTGTTCAAATAAAAGCCCTGGGGTCAAAATTGGCCCCGCCCCAGGGGGTCATTGATTTTCCCTAATATGCATATAATAAAAACTTTAAAAAATTTTCTTTTAAAGAACCCAAACAGCTAGAGCTAAGATATTTAGCATGAAACATCTTCTAATGGGTGTCTACTAAGTTTGTTCAAATAAAAGCCCTGGGGTCAAAATTAGCCCCGCCCCAGGGGGTCATTGATTTTCCCTATATGCATATAGTAAATACTTAAAAAAATTTCTTTTAAAGAACCCAAAGAGCAAGAGCTAAGATATTTGGCATGAAACATCTTCTAGTGACTGTCTACCAAGATTGTTCAAATAAAAGCCCTGGGGTCAAAATTGGCCCCGCCCCAGGGGGTCATTGATTTTCCCTATATGCATATAGTAAAAACTTAAAAAATCTTCTTCTAAAAAACCCAAAGAGCTAGAGCTAAGATTTTTGGCATGAAACATGTTCTAATGGATGTCGACCAAGTTTGTTCAAATAAAAGCCCTGGGGTCAAAATTGGCCCCGCCCCAGGGGGTCATTGATTTTCCCTATATGCATATAGTAAAAACTTAAAAAAATTTCTTTTAAAGAACCCAAAGAGCTAGAGCTAAGATATTTAGCATGAAACATCTTCTAATGTATATATTCTTTTATTTCCTCCAATATTTGAAGAGCATAACATATATACATACAAAAAATACAAATATTTACATGAAATAATAAAACACAAAACATATTATGAAACATAGCATTAATAACAAGTAAAGAGAGGCAATTTCCTTAAGACTGCACATGTCGAAAAAGAAGTACAGGATCAAAAATTAAGGAAAATTAATCTTATATAACAGGAGTTACATTTGCTGTCATATTTTCTAATATATCATATGAGCATGTTTCTTATAGATCTATTATCTTATATGACAACATTGTCTTAAATAAATTCTTACATATACTGTGGAATCCGCAGAGTTCAATGCTTATCGAAACGAAACACAAGATCTGAACAGCGGATGAGACATGAAATTACAGTTTTATTTTTGTTTTAACACAGCATGAAACATCTTCTAATCGGTGTCTACCAAGTTTGTTCAAATAAAAGCCCTGGGGTCAAAATTGGCCCCGCCCCAGGGGGTCATTGATTTTCCCTGTATGCATATAGTAAAAACTTAAAAAAATCTTCTTTTAAAGAACCCAAAGAGCTAGAGCTAAGATATTAAGCATGAAACATCTTCTAATGAGTGTCTACCAAGATTGTTCAAATAAAAGCCCTGGGGTCAAAATTGGTCCCGCCCCAGGGTGTCATTGTATTTAACTATATGTGTATAGTAAAAACTTGTTCTTTTAAAAAACCCAATGAGCTAGAGCTTAGATGTTCAGCATGAAACATCTTATGGGTGTCTACCAAGTTTGTTCAAATAAAAGCCTTTGGATTAAAATTGGCCCTGCCAGGGGTGGGGGGTGGGAAGGTCATTGTTTTTCATTATATGTGTGTATAACGACTTAACATCATGAAACATCTTCTAATGGGCGTCTTCCAAGTTTGTTCAAATAAAAGCCCTGGGGTTTAAACTGGCCCCGCTCCAGGGGCCTATATACAGGTGAGTGACCTCAGGGCCATCATGGCCCTCTTGTTTTTGTCAAGGTCCCCGTGACCTTGACCTTTGACCCAGTGACCTCAAAATCAATAGGGGTCACCTTATAGTCATGATCAACATCCATGCCAAATATGAAGACTGTGGGTCAAAGGAATCTTAAGTTAATGGGTGGACAAACTTTTTGAAGTCAAAGTCCCTTTGACCTTAACCTTTGACCCAGTGACCTCAAAATCAAAAGGACTAACCTTCTAATCATGATCAACATCCATGCCAAATATGAAGACTGTGGGTCAAAGGAATCTAAAGTTATTGGGCAGACAAACTTTTTGAAGTCAAAGTCCCTGTGACCTTGACCTTTGACCTCAAAATCAATAGGGGTCATCTACTAATCATGACTAACCTCCATTCCAAATATGAAGACTGTGGGTCAAAGGAATCTTAAGTTATTGGGCGGACAAGCTTTTTGAAG